GTCGGGGGGCCAGTTCTCCTGTGACCAGACGAAACCAGCAGTTCAATTCCAGGCTGCAGCAAAGTCAGATTGTGCAGAGGACTCATCTACTCAACTGTGGTTCTAGTAACCACAGCTGGCTTTTTTTTAACCGTAAAGATTTCTGAAAGCTGTCATCTATAGTAACTCTTTTAGAAACAAGCAACTGCCCAGTTATGCTGGTAAAATAAATTTGAAAAACAAATATTAGTACAAAAAATGTTATTTAATAAAATGTGCTTTTATTTTGCCATTTTGAAGTTTATTTGGCCTCTGAAGGTATGAGTTATGAAGGGTTATAAGCAATGGTTGGTTTTTTTGCAGTGTTAGTTGGCACACTATAGACCTATTGTGGCAGACACTTGTGGGTGGGATCCTCTGACCTTTTAACCTTTTGACCAGCCACCATCCACCATCCTGCAACCAACTACCACACTCTAGCAATCATCCAGCAACGCTCTAGCAACCACCCGTAACACATGGTGACTGGTTTCGTTTGCATGGGCAATCACTACACACGTTTAGGTTTTGCAAAAAGCTCAATTTTGTCTCAGTTTCTAATTTATTCTGCCCTCATTCGTTATTCACAATTCTTCAATATAAAGCAATGATTTTGAAACTTACAATAAGATCAAATATGACATAATTCAAAAAAGATTATGAACTGCAACAAACAACATCAGCCAAACGAGAGTGGGTTTTCGATTTGATTATCTAATCACATTCCTTGTAATCTCCATCAGTCAGTCCTCTTAGACCCTTCCAACCCGGCTCATCGCGGCTGATCATGTGATTGACGGAGGCACGGCAGCACAAATCAGCTCTGAGGATCGAGAGCAGCACATGAAGAATGCTGGTGATTAATGCGCCCATCATGTGAGGGAGAATTTATTTCTACACAATTAGCATATCGCAGATTGTCTCAGATCACACCCTGTTCAGACCTCAAGGGTCACGATACTGTGGTCATATGGAAGACATTAAAATATTCTGAACTGGACAGACAGACAGACAGAAAATTTCATACAAAAGAAAATGTACACAGTGTAGCTGTTTGTTACGCAATTAAATAAGCAGGGAGATTTACTGCTTACTTGTCTGAATAAAAATTCCCATCCTATGAATTCACCACCTTGTAAAACGCATTTACAGTTCCATTATCTCATGAGATCAGGCTCAAGAATTACCGTCTTGACTTTATAATAGAACAGTCTTGATTCCAGCATGACTAATACGTTTTATTACTATGGATATGAGCTAGAATACAATCTCAACAGACGGCTTGCAGTCTCTTTTACCGATTCTCCACAGTGTCGTCCTCCACACCATGGCCTACCGTGCCAATCGTCCTGCACTAACTAAGCCCGGGTCAAACTCTTTGTCATGTCTAGTTTAAGGCGGATGTAAAGGCATTGCCTTAAGCTAAGCGTCTGAGCTCATTTACAGGGTCTTATTATGCAAACCACTCCCTGACGCCCACAGTCTAATTAGGCCTAAATTAATTTGAGTCCAATCTTTTATGTCTCTGGCCCAGGCTATACCACTTCCCTCCATTTGCAGAATCATATTAATGTTCGTGTGGGAGCACTACTGCTGCAGATGAAAAGACTGATACAATTAATTAAGTCCTGCCTCTGTTCTTGCCTCCTCTCGGCAGAGAAACGATAAGTGCAATGAGCTGCCTCTTATTAACCCCATTATATGGGCTAATAAGGAAGATCATATACAAATCAAGGATGATGCACACTTATACGGGAATGCAAATGACGGCAGCTAACGAGCTGTGTGTCAATGTTGGAAATGCTTTGTTTGGGAAACGCGACATTCAGCATTCTTAACACGGCCTCGTTTATTTGTGTTCCTGTGCGAGCGTCTGCACAGGCATAATTGCATGTTGCATGTGCATGCCAACGAGCGCTTGACGCTCTTGCATCTTCTTTATTTAGTGTCAATGCGGTCAAGCAAATGGAGTTGCTGCAGGCTCTTTATTGGCATCAGTGGTTCTGTGATGGACTTTTAACATCCATGCTTTGCACAAAAGATTCTTTACAGTAGAAGTTTCTTCAGATTATTAAAAGGGTTCTTCCATGGCATTGTTTCAAAAAATACAACTTTTGGAACCTTTATTTCGCAGCATGAAGGAGATTCGTGACGCAAAAGGCTGCTTTCAGAACCATGGACAGCAGCCATTGAGTCCCAGTGTTTTCAGCACTCAAATGGCTTTAGCTTTGCTTCAGAAAACGTTTCATTCATGGTTCTGTTTGGTAATATGGGTATCATATTCCGACTCCAACTGAACTGTATGCATGCATGCTCCATTTACCATGACATATTAACATGCTTTGCTTATCCTTGCGACAGATTATCTGATATGTCTTCACATAAGCTAGAAATGAACCATTTGGCTTTTCTGATTCAGAGAGTGCTTCATAACATTGGAAGGTTTAGAGATCAAATAATCATGTAGTGTTTTGTGTGGTTGGTGTAATAGCATGTGCCGGTCTGTAGGAGGAGCAGTGCAAATGGCCCTGAACCACACATTGCTATATAAACCCAAATACTGCACCATTAAACATTTAGATTTGATCATTTATATGAACTGTTTAGGGTGTGCAGTTCTGTTTAGGGAATGCATGACTCCTTGAATAACTATTTATGTTATTTTCAAACTCCACAACACAAACAACAGTCAAACCTACAGATAGCCTGCTCTAGTCTACGTTTTACTTTTGGCATTAAAGCACTGAGCTTGTGAACTCGTGATATGGCGTTCGTTACGATGCTCGCATTTGTCTTGTTATGAGTTTCGAGTAATATGTTGATATGTCTTTACTGTGATCGCATTGAGAGGGGGCTCGTGGCCAGTAGGGGAGGGGCGCGCGCCGGCCGAGCAGCTGTATGCAAATGAGACGCGACAAGCACGCGCCACACAGCAAACACGCGCACATACGGCCGGTGCGCACGCACACAATCTCATTAAAATGCCATCGAAGTGCATTGTGCTGTGTAAGACCTAGACAAACAAACTTCACAGAATGTTAACACAGAGCAAAACATGTTTCGATAAAAGGAAAACGAGCGAAGAGTCTGAATTTAAATATTAGATGGGCGCAAATCCATTTGGGTGCAGATGCATGATTTAAGCAGAACTTTAGATGATGTTGAGAAGGTTCGGACGGCGCAGCGCAACTATGCATGCTGTAATTAGATATATTTAGGAACATTTGAGTCTCGCGTGTGGTGTTAAACTCCGCCAGTGTTGTAATATTTGTGAAGCTGCAGGGGAGAATGGTGGCAGGCGCATATCTCAATGCTCGAGCAATTATTTGACTCGGCCATACAGCAGCTTTATGCTAATGAGGGGAACAATAGATGAATGCAAACCCGTGCAACACGTCTGTCCAATTATGCGCGCAAAAGAGAATTTAAAGCAACTGTTTCACGGAGTAAAAATGAGATCCTTTGGTGCTGTGATATAAACCTTTGGAGTCGAAGTCTGCTGTAGAGCTTTCCATGTGCGTTTGTTGAAATATAACTTACTGAAGGTGATTCTAAGAGTAGCCTACTAAAATTATTTGGAATTTCTAACTTTGACTCTTTTTTTTCTCTGTGCTTATGCCTCAAAATACACCACGGATGATTTTATTTCAAAGTAAACTAACACATGTTGCAGTTAGTAGAGCATCAATGAAGTGAGCTTTATTTAGAAGTAGAGCTGCTTGTAAACACGTTGTAAGTGTTTTTTTTTTAACTAAGCTATTGTCGTTCATTTTAATTACAGTAAACGCGTGTAGCTTGCGCTGCAATGGAAAGCGTTAAATAAAACGCTTCAGTGGCTGAAGTTGTCACCGGTCATGGTGGTTTGAAGAAATGCAATGATGGCTGACCCCTGGCTTGACCTCGAGGTCAGTGCTCATCTTTGATTGCGTCCAGCACGCGTCTCTCTTTTGGCCAGATTGCTCGTGTATCCCTGTAGAGGTCAATTTGCTTTTCAAAGGCAAAAAAGCCTGTGACGGCTGGCCAGACGCGGCTATTGTGTTGAGAGACGAGGGCTTCTTCTGATGACTTATGCATGCGTTAGCCAGCTGATTTATACTGCCCTCAGACAGACGCGTGGCATTACAAATCTCTTTAATATCCAGATTTGCAAACAGGAAGCGCTTTAGACTAATTTAGCATGTTCGTGTTTCATGCGCAGTAATTAATAACATGCGATGTGCAGCTAACTACTTTGTGGAGCTGCCTTTTTTAGTACACGTTATTTACACGAAATGCGCGTGAAACGGAAACTTTAAACTGTAAACATGGGCGTCGCAATTTGTGTTGTTTTCATAATATTGCATATTTTACAAAATGACTACTATAAAATCGTCCTCCTCTTATTCACTTCAGCTGTAGCTTGTGTAATAACTTGCATCGTGCAATTATTGGCTCTCATGATAAATTATTGTATAAATGCAATCACTTCTGCATTTGACGTACTTAAAATCATTCCAAATGATATCGTTTAATTCAGTGTAGGTCGAAACATGCACTTAAATCTGCAGTCTGTAGTAGTTAATGCTCAATAGTGTCCCGATATAAAATGAAAAACATTCTAAATATATAATACAGAGACAAGTGAAGACATTCCCATCACAGCTCTAAACTAAGCATTCCGAGAAGAACTTTCTTTGTTGTCGCCAATTCCAAATCGTGATGATGACGACGATGATGGCCAGTGAGTGACATTTCCTTCTGCGCCCTACAGCCGCGGCACGCGCTGCTCTCCGTACATCTCCATCAGACTGTGAATGGAGAGCAGCGCGAATTACTACAATAAAGGCCAGGTACATCTGCTCTGTAGCGCCTGGTCCGAGTCTCTCAGCCCTCCCACGGGCACTCCCGATTGGACGAGGACGCGGCGACGAGGGGCGAGAACAATAACATCATTCCGGCTTAAAAAGAGTGCAGCTATGCGTCGAGGAGCAAAAGCATCTCTCAGAGGGAGGGAGGCGGACGGCGCGTTTGTGGCTCTGGATCTCGTCTCGTTGTGCCTTGTCATCCTCGCCTCATCATGCCCAAAGGATTCCTGGTGAAAAGGAACAAGAAAGCAGCGCTCGTTTCGTACCGGATACGCGCGGATGAGGATGGAGGATTCGCTCCAGAATGTCAGATCGCGCAAATCGCCTGGTCTCCACCCGCACCCAGCGCGCCCAAGCCGGACAGCATCACCTCAGCCTTCCCGTCGGACGGGGCAGAGGCGCCGGTGTCGGTCCACAGCGCCAAGCCGGTGCAGTTCGGCAATCCGGAGACGGTGTACCAAGCCCTGTACAGCCCCACCCGGCCCATCAGCAAGGAGCACGACAGGAAATATTTCGAGAGGAGTCTCAACCTCGGCTCGCCCGTCTCTGCCGAGTCGTTCCCGACTCCCGCCTCTTTCACCAGCCTGGACCATCAGCTTCTGTTCGCGCCGGTGGACTTGAAAATCGGCACCAGCAACAGTAACCGGAGCGGAACGGCGCCCGTCATCCGAACCGGCGCCAAAAGACCTCCCTCGGACGCCGCCGAGCGTAAAAGCAGCAAAAGCGCCAAGAAGCCCAAAGCCATACGCAAACTCAACTTCGAGGACGAGGTCACCACATCCCCGGTGCTGGGCCTGAAAATCAAAGAGGGGCCCGTGGACCTGAAGCCCCGAGCGGCCTCGGGCAACACCAACAGGCCCCTGGGGGAGTTCATCTGCCAGCTTTGCAGAGAAGAATACTCGGACCCGTTCTCTCTGGCACAGCACAAGTGCTCCCGGATAGTGCGGGTGGAGTACAGGTGTCCCGAGTGCGAGAAGGTCTTCAGCTGTCCGGCGAACCTGGCCTCCCACCGGCGCTGGCACAAACCGCGCGTGCCAAACGCGCCCAAACAAGCCCTCCAGCCCGCCAAACCGTTCCCCGAGGAGTTCCCCGGCGACAGAGACACCCCGAGTCCGGGTCTGTCAGAGTCCGGCTCCGACGACGGGCTCTACGACTGCCCGCACTGCGGGAAGAGGTTCAAGCGCCAAGCCTACCTGAGGAAGCACATCCTGGGACACCAGGCGCTCCAAAATCAGCTCCTCGGAGAGGCTTTGCGCACCGCGGAGAGCCCCGACATCGTGCCCACGGAGGACAGCCAAAGCCCGGGTCCGCTCAATCTGAGCCCCGCGGACTGTCTCGCGTGTCCGGCTTGCGGAGAGAAGCTGCCCAACCGGGCGAGTCTGGAGCGACACCTGCGCCTCCTGCACGACGACTCCCAGGCGCTTCCCTGCAAGTTCTGCCCCGCCACTTTCTACAGCTCGCCGGGTCTCACCAGGCACATCAACAAATGCCACCCCACCGAAAACAGGCAAGTCATCCTTCTCCAGATGCCCGTGCGTAACGCCTGCTGAAGACGAACCCACAGCGATCCGTCCTTTTAGAACCATCGATTTTCTTCATCCAACCCCTCGCTAGAAAAGTCTGGAGAAAAGTATTAGTTTGGTCCTTACAAAGGTATTTTTCTAGAACCCTTGCACACATGGTAATGTAATAGCTCCTAGACCTAAGATATGTTCCTGTACCTCTGCCTTGAATTCACATGCTGTGTGTTTCACGTCTGTAGCTTTAATCTAGTATGTGGATTACGGGACTGAAAATGCTCTCTCTCTCTCTCTCTCTCCGTACTGAAAACTACATCAACAAATCTTGAAAACTTTCCCTTTAGTAGCCAGAAATGCCTTTAGAGAAATACATCAAACTACTGCCTTAAGAACTCTTCAGTGTAACGATTGTTTCTGAATGTCGGCACACAATTACTGCTTACTATCACGATGTAAAACTATTGTAATATGTTTGTTCGTAATATTTTATTTATTTATGTATTTATTTATTTTCAATGGCTTTGTATAACTTATTGGGTGTCACATGTTGCAGTCGAATCGTTGTGTGGAGATCATCTCGTCTTGGCTTTTGTGCGCTCTCTTGAAACGTGAAGCTCTTATAGATGCAACCCTTTTCTACGTATACAGCTTATTTTCCTAAATGTTTGCTACCTAGCGCTCTATATGTGCGTCCGTGTTGTCTACTCAAATAAAATATTTTCAAAATGAAAAAGCTTCTTGTTCGTGCATATTTGCCACACAATCCCAACCGTGTACTATTTACACTATAGTTTAATTGAATAACACAAGACAGTTACTATCGCTTCATATGGGCACTGTAAATGGCAACGACCTTTCGTTTGGACGTTAAACACAATATGAGCACATTATTGTAATTCTAAGAGCCAGTCACTCCATGCACACGTAAAGCTTCCATCCTGTATTTATCTACAGATGTATGCAGTTAACACAAGTGTATGATGTTAAGAACAATGTAGGGCTGTAGAAGTGTTTTTGTGTGCAGTCTACTACTGCAAAGTTAATGTGCAGCATGACCAACTGTTATTGCAGCTACACGGTGTTTTTCCACAGGTGTCAAATGCTCAAATGATATAAAGCCAACCTCTGGCAATTCACACCTTTACAGCTGCTATCCCAAACCCTTTCCATGCTTTAAATGGCAGCAGTATTGATTTGAAATTGGTCAAGTCATTCTGAAGTCACCATGTAAGCTCTGCTTGATCAATGAAATAATGTAGTTGGCCCACTGTAAATTCAGCTGAAATCATTTAAAGAGTGACAACAGCCTTTGTAATAATGAACTCAGAAATGTACAAGGGCATTAACCTGTAATGCATTTCAGCACAGGCATTATTGATTCTGAGCCAAGTGGGATCCATTTTTCTATCTGTGCCTGGTCTGTACGAAAATTTTGACCATGAAACATCTCTAAAGAAGCAACCAATCCATCTTGTGCTCTACTCACATAACATGTTCCTGAAAGAGTCAATATTTCAGTATATAGGATACAATGAGCGGATACAAATCAAATATCAATGATGTCATCAGGGTGATTTTCACAAAATGAGCATCTGATTGTTTAAACTGCTGAATCCTCTGTGCACATTATATTCATGTGTAAAGTTCACACACCACAGCTGTCGTCTGTTTCTCACTAATGATTTTACTCTAGATTCAGTTTATGCAGAACCATTACTTTATGCATGTTCAGAGTGCAATTGGCAAGAAAAGGAAGAAAAAAAAAATCATACATGTTGTTTTGGTCAGATTTTGTGCAGGCACACACACACACACACACACAGTCAGTAATTAAATGTGAGTGTGCTGGAGGCCACCTGCATGAGCTGTAGGTGTTGGGAGTGTGTGCACCTGTACTCCGGTGAGGGACGCGTCTGTGCTCACGGAGCAGCAGGGGAGACAGATGGGAGGGGGGTCAGGTTACCCTCAATATTCCCTCAGCTCCAGCAACAGAACAACCTCTGACCCCGAGCATCACTTCCACCCACTCGCTCGAAACACACAATATGGCCATGCATTCTCTCACAAGAGTCACGGATGATTTCAGACGCACATACAGTACAACAGCACATCATCATACAGTTTCTCCAGGTCAGAAGCAGGACAAAATCAATGTTGTATTTCATGCATAAAACACAGGGCTTCGATAATGACAAAAATGACTCAATTTCTTTCGCTGAACTCAGAAGAAGCTATTTGGACTCCAATGACTTTCATTTTGTGACGAAAGACACTCATACAGGTTTGGAAATAACAACAGTGTTTTGATTTTTGGGTCAACTATACCTTCAAAGAGGAGATATAGTGGACACATAGTAAATACATTTCATATTTATTTAACATTTAGGTTAAAACTGAAGTGTCTATTTTAGTTAGTGGAACAGGGCACCATTTACTTTCCAGCATTTTTTTGTTGCAGTTCACTTAAAGACACAGTAAAATAAATTTTTCTAAAGTTGTAATTAAATATTATTAGAATATACTCTACCAGAAAAATACTATCTCAGGCCATGTCCACACGTACACGGGTATTTTTATAAACTGAGTTTTCCCTTCTTCCGTTTTTAAAAAAAATCTCCGTACACATGAAAACACAAACGCATGCTATGAAGCACTGTCAAGAGCATGCCAAACCAACAGGTGGCGATATAATCTCAACCGCAAAGCCATGTTGGCCAATCAGAAGCCTGAAAAAGTTTCCAGTAGGCGGAGATAACGGTGCATGCTCCGATGTCACAAGCCAAAAACTCTGGTTTCGCTGTCTACACCATAACACTGCAACCAGAGTTTTTGAAAATCTTCACCCTGGCAGGCGTTTTCAAAAATGTTCGGTTTCAGTGAACTAGTGCTGCGTTTGCGTGTGGACGAACGGCCAAACCGCGTAGAAAAAGCTGCGGCCTCAGCCTTTATACTTCAAAATTGCATGTTTAATTCAACGTTACCTGTAATAGTTAGTCAAATACTCTAGCAATTTCAGAGAGAAAACTTTTTCAAAGTAAACCCTGCTCCAATATCTTTTGTTTTTTAATGTGGCGTTTTTGTCATTCCTAAAAATTCTTACTGTTAATTGTAACAAAATTATAAATACAGTTTAAATAACATACAATTGCAGGACACAGCAACTACCCATGAATCATGAAACACTGAACAAAAACAGATCAAACAAATGCACATACAACTTCAAATCGATTTAATGAAATGTTTCGATTTCTTCACATTTCTAGTAAAGATAAAGCGATTACTTTTTCGATTAAAAACAGTCTGATATGTTAACAAGTCATGACGAAATCTTCAAGCTTCCTTATCTTCAATGTCTTATACAAAGGTTATATTACAGGGATTAATATATTTATATCCTTCAGAATTTAGAGCATTCAAAGAAAACAACTAAACAAAAGAGAGAGACACAATATACAAGACTACAAAACGAAGTCTACACTGAACATATCATCAAACAGAAGTTAGGCCAGTTGCAGTATTTTCTGTCCATTTCAAACCCGCATCGTCCCAGTTGAGATTTGGCCTGTGGGTTTGCATACATTCATCAGCGTTTTTCATTCAGAGCGTGGAAGAGAGAAAAAGTATTAGGCGAAGCGAAACAAAGACAGGTGTACAGGTAAGGCAAAGTAGTGCAACATGTGTCCTGTTGCAGCCTGGGCGGAGCCTGCAGTGTGTGCAACACCTGGTCTCCATGGCAACCAGGCCGGGTCTCTACGGGAACAGAGAGGGGCGCTGGCATGCTGCTGGCACTCGGAGAGGCACGCGGGAATCGGGGAAGCAGCTGGAAAAGAACCCCCATCCAGCATCTAATCAGACAGAAGCCGCTCTCACAAAACGCAGACAATCTCATTCAATTTACTCCAGTGAAATGTAAGACTCGTCGGGAAAATGCTGCTCTCCGTGTAGGAAGTGTGGGGGCAATTAAAACGGCAAAACTCGGACAGGTATTACACAGGCACTGTGGACAGCTCCCTTCACACAGCTTCACCTGAGGAGCTGGGGGCTTCTCATCCGTTTAGTCAGGTATAGTACGATGGCAGATATTTCTCCATATATATATATATATATATATACACAAACACAACATGAAACAAATATATATATATTATCAAATCAAATCGAAAGCAATGTACATTCAAATACAGAGGGAAGAACGCAACAAACTTCGACCTGCGGCATATCTTCACCACCGAGTGAGTGCAAAAACATTGGAATGTCGGAGTAGATTTACATGACAGGAACGGGACAGGTTCAGTTCACAAATGAAGCAGCACACGCTCGACTGAAATACAAACATGTGCCTTTTCCATTCAGCATGTTGCACAAATCAGTTCCGTAAAAATGATCAAACGAGTAGCTTAAAAGTAAATCATAACAACAAAAGTGATTTCAATGCAGTCTGTTGTACTTTAGATGCCACTGATTACATTATTGAAGTAGAATGATGATTCAAGAGTGCCAGTGTTTTCTCAGACTGGCCCAAAGCGCTGTACGAGCGTCTCAGTGCTGCGGCGGGACAAAAAGTCGCTCCCATATGCATCAATGATTCGGTTTTCAGTGTTTGACATGAAGAAAAGCTCAAAGATTGCGAGTATTAAAAACTAGCTAATGCCTCGGGGTTTTTGAAACGTCTCACATTATTCATTCGCTACTCGGTCGTAAGGACATTTTTGGGACAAATCGCAGTCCAAATGCAGCATTGCTGTGAAAATTGCAATTCATTTCACATTCGCAGATTCGGTTCAGCATAAATTCAGTTTATCTTTCTTCACGGCAGGGGAAGCTACATAATTTTGCGACATCTTTCACTGCTACTCGGCATCAACACGAAAAAACAACAACAACAACAACAGGTGGAAAGCATTAGAGTCAAATGATACATTCATCCACAATGCAGTCTGACGGCCGGAGGAAGTGTTCAGTTAGAGGACTTGCTGATGGCGCTGGCCGAGCGGCGGAGCTTTCCAGAAACCCGGTTCTTAGAGGCGCGCGGTATAGTGGGTGAGACCTGGTCGCTGGAGTCGTTGGTCGTCACAGTAACACTGAGGTCAGCGCTCGTGCTGCAGCTGAGGGAACCTGGGAAGGGAGGACATATTACATGCAGAGTGAAGAATCAGCAGAGATATGATATTAATACGCTTGCTTTCAAACTGACAGCACGCCATTGCTGAAGTGGAAAACATCCTCTGATAGAGACGGATGCGAATGGACATTAAGTAAAAAGCTGAGAACTCAAAATCAGCCTGTTAACTGACATTCCACACAGCACTTCCACTTTGCTGCAGAAAAGAAATGTCAATGGAATGAGAGAAAAGACGACATGCAAAATATGGATTCTGCTGGCGATCTGAGACACTGCTACTCCAGAAAGCATCTAAATTAAACAAGCTTCCTGCTTTGTCAAGATGGCATCTGCTTGGCTATTTTCTTTCTTTCTTTTCGACCGTTTTCTTTTTTTTTACGGGCATCTCAAGTTTCTGCGAGCAGATGGTGTGGGGAACATGCGCTCATTGGAGAGGACCTCCACTCCAGGGCTTCTTTGAAAGAGGGGGAGGAGAGCGGAGAACAACGGTCTCAGCATGTGAAAGGAGTCGGGGAGGAGTAAACGAGCGCGGGCTGCTGTCCGCTCCACACGTCCACAGAGAACATCTCAGGAGGACTCGGGATGCCAGCACGCACCTCCTCTCTAACGCTGACTGAACTATCTGTCGTGCCAGGGATTTCTGTCATTTATCGGTCCGAGAGACGACTGGCCATCTTACGTTTCCACACTGAATCTGAGCCGGGTGGAGAGCGTAAAGCTCCAGAAGCGCTCGTCATCACAGTGATCGACTAACTAGCGTCTGATCATCAGGTTTAATTTAAGCGTGTGGTGAGGCGTGTGAACCAAATCAATCATGCAAACCCTGAGAATTGATTTCTTGATCAGAACCTCTCTTGTTGTTTCATTAAACACAGTCCAAAAAAATAACAAAACAACGGAAAATGTGAGAATAAGAGTAAATATACATATATAACATGAGCCAAACACAAAATAACTATATATAAATATATAATTATATTTTAAATGGTTTTCTATTTTTTTATGCTTTTTGTAATATAATTTAATAAATTATATTATTTTAAGTATTATTCAGAAATACACTTACATTAAAAAAATAAGAGTGGAAACACCAACATGTTTCACAGGAGGATAGAAATAATTTTTTTTTATTATACACTAACCCACTCAAAAGTTTGGTCACACCTGCTTATTCTTTATTATGACGATGATGATGATGATTATTATTATTCACTACTTAGAACTATGATGGTTTTTAAACAGCAATGTTGTTTAAAAGAAAAAAAGGGGGAAAAATGCATCAAAATATAAAACTTTCAACTGAAAAAATAATAATAATATGTTTAATGCTTCCAAACTTTTCATTGGTAGTGTATATACCAAATCTAGAACTTTACAGTGACCTTTAATGGAATATATTCCAATTTGTGACTAACAGAATTTAATCAAGGTTACAACATTTCATCCCAAACTACATATTCAGAATTTATATAATTATTTCCCGTTTGGCCTTTATACATACATATATATATACAGTATATATATATATATATATATATATATATATATATATATAAAGTTAAGTGGCCCTCATTCCCATTGGCTCTCTGCAGCAATCCAAACAAAAGCATAAGTGACAAAGACATTTTCCAGTAGGGCAGGTGTTAGTGTCAGATGTGGCCTCAGGCAAACAGACACACGCCAAAGGACAAAGCAACAGGAGAAAAGAGGGGAAAAAGAGAGAGAATAAAGCAGAGACATGCAGGAGAGGAGGATGGCGACCCATTCATGCTGCTACTGTGTTACGATTACTCCGCCGCCATCCATAATCAGAGCGCGCTCAGAACAGCCAGCCCCAATGCAGCTCTGCCTCGGTGTTCCTTTAAAAGCTCTGAGCAGACGCAGCTCATTAGTGGAAATAAAGAGGGGAAAGATGAGTAGACGAGCCGGGGAAAGGGGAGGGGTCTCTGTGACAGAACGCAAGCTCCGTTCAGACCGAGACTCTTACCTTCCGTTACTGTACTGACACCTGTAACACACTTAATCTACAGAGGGAGAGAAGACAATAGAGCAACACGTAAGCTGCGCACCGTCACGGGTGTGTGTGTGTGTGTGTGTGACAGAGAGAATGAGAACGCTGTTGAAAATATGAGTGTTAGATGTTAATGCTGAGGGGTGAGGGAAGGACAACACAACAAAATGTTAACATACACAACATACAGTGATCATGACAGACCGTGGCTGTCAACACAAGCAGACAGTGAAACTTCTATTCACACTGGCCCACTTCGTCTTTGTGCTTTCTGAGAATGAAAGAATGTTTAACACAGGAAACAGAATAGAAAAGCTGCGGGATGCAAAACACACAAACCTGTGATTTAACAGCTCTATTTCAAAAGGTTTTCACGATATGTGCATTAAACTTGTGTTATATAACTGAAATCTGAAATGACGTCGGCCCGTCAGAGCACGAGGCTCGATGTGAGGTTATTTCTGAACAAAGCTGATTGTTTGGTGTTTGCGCTGGAATAACGGGCGATGCAAGGTGATGATATATAAGTAACAAAACGTGATCTTTTTTTTCTTTTGGTGAGAGTGTAAATGATATTTGTGAGGTGCTGCAAACCTGTACATGTTTAATGAGACACACTAATCTGTTATATTTCAGAGAAACCCCTGTCTACCATCCGATAGTAAACTAAATCATTGCCAATACTTTCAACTCAATTAGATGACTTACGCCCCATTCACACTGGGCGTCGGCATCAACGCCTCTTGTTTACTTTGAATGGAGTGAAGTCAAGCATTGCCGAAATTAATTGTGGGTCCGTCGCTTCGGGTCCATTGCTCGCGGCAGAAGTTGAAAACTTTTCAACTTTTTAAGCGCCAACGCAGGCGTCAGCTAATCAGATCGCCTTATACAAATGCCCTGGTGCAGACGCTAGCCAATCGCGTTCATGCAACACCAGAAAACGAATGTGATTGGCTGTTGTCACTATGACGGTCGCGTCAACACCAAGCTTCAGAAATGCCCTCCATCAAGCATCGACGCTGACGCCTCGTGTGAATGCACCATTGAAGGCACCAAACCCTGCATGTATACAAGCACACATTTCTATGACCCTGACCTCAAAGCTCTCTTCCAAAACCTAGTGAGATGCCTACATAGACAGCATTTGAAGGCTTTATATAGACATGCCTTCGACGACTGGCAGCAACATTAGTAGTATTTGAAATATAATAATAATGAAGTATTACATGAATATTAGAATTTAAAATACCAGTTTTCTATTGTATTATATTTTACAATTTAATTCATTCCTGTGGTCAAAGCTGAATTTTCAGCATCACTCATCATCTTCTTCTTCTTCTTCTTTTTATAATATTCGAATGTTGAAAACATTTGTGTTGCTTAACATTTGGAATATACAGTATGCAAATTGTGATTTTTTTTCTACAGATTCTTTGATGAATATAAAGTTCAAAAGAATAGCATTTATTTGAACTTTACTGTCACTTTTAATCAATTTAATGCATCCTTGCTGGGGGGTAGGGGACATCTTTCCATTCAGCTTAGAGAGCTGTCTTGGAAAGTAGTTGCTTATTTGGTAGCGAACTAGGTTTTGTAACAGAGGCAATGGTCCGCAATAGTGGAATCTTCATCATAAGCTCATCTGATATACTGTGCTACATTCCATAAGTGTAATATTTTTTAAAAAGAAGCTGTTTAAGAAAAAAACTAAAACAAGGAGCAAAGTCAATGTGCTCTATTCACTGTCATAAAACAGGGAACATGCAGGCTGTACTGAAAAGGTGAGAAAGAGAGAGACAGAGACAGGTTTGTGGGCCACATGCCTAATGGAGGAAGCAGGCAGAAAAGTCTTACAGTCCAGCTTGGCCCAGAGGTAATCCATGTCCCAAACCATCCCTGGCCAACGTCTGCCTGCTGTCATGGGTGAGATGGTGGTGAAACATGGAGCAGCGTCATAGACTGTAACCCACACAACAGCTCAAGCCCTACTAGATGAGGTGCCCAATGCCCCAGGCCTGTCTGAACTCTCACCTATGGGTCTGGACCATGCATTAATGAGGGAATCTATGGCTCTGTTCCAAAACCCTGTGAGCTGCCTTCTTGTACCTGTCTGTATAAGAAGTTATCTCCTAAAACCACTTTGTGCTGAAGCCACAGCAATGGCTTCACTATGTCTACACTGGAACTGTACCTCATGCCAGATTGTAAAATTAGGGAAATGGCTGAATTGCTATGTTTATTTGCAAAGGAATTCCATTAACAATAAAATGGTTCTGAAGTGCATCAACTATAGAAAACATTGGTCACATGACATTGTAATCGACACTTTAAGTGCAATTATAAAGAATCATCATAATGCTGTCTGGCTAGACAGCTCTCTAGGGAACAGAGCTTGTATTTCGTGTATGTATATGTAGAACAACTTCTTTCCAACCTAAGCCTGCATTTTATGGGTAAATGATTAATTAGTAAATAAATATAGGTTTCTCTAACACAAACAGAAGGAACAGAAAAAGAAAAGAAACAGGAATGACAACTGAGGTTAAGCACAAAAAAGAGTGAACATGAGAAGGTAATTAGAACAAAAGAGAGAGTGAGGCCAACAGAAGAAGAAAAAAGAGAGAACAAGCAGTTTTTGATGTGTTTGATGGAGGTACAAGAAAGCCTGAGATGCAAAAGAAGAGAAAGCCAGAGAAATGGAGTTTGAAGTGTCTAATGGATGAGATTCTCGTTCTCTCTGAGGTCAGTGGGCGAATCTGTGAGCTGCTCCCTATGCAGTCAACAGAGGTCACCACAGTGATTTTCAACGCCCTTCTAGGAGATAAATGGCGCCGCTAGAGAAATCAAAACTGTCAGAGCATCATTCTGCAAAATGATCTCAAAGAATGTGTCCTGAATAGTGCACTACACAGTCACTGCTGCATTCAGGGATAGGGTCAATTAACATCCACTCGCAGAGCAAAGCCCACAAATGAAACAAAGAACAAATAATGTAAATAAACTCTACAAAATGCACTGCATGCCCAACCAAACAAAGAGAAATGGAAATGAAAAAAAAAGACAACTGAACTAAAGATTCAAAATCCACAGTATCCGGAAAAACTTACAAAAATGAAGATTTTTTGAATTAACGGTTTTTAGAATTATGATTGTAGTATGAGAAACAGGGTAATTACTGATAACTAACTAATTAAAAAATAAATAATAATAAATAAATAATATATATATATATATATATATATATATATATTGCTTGAAATAAAATGAACATTAACTGAAACTAAATAAAATATAAGAAAAACCTCAAATTCATTTTATTTCAATTTCAATTTAATAACAAAAATGAAATAAACTAAAACTAAAAAACTAAACTTAACTATATAGACATTTGACAAAAAACCTAGTAAAAATGACAATATACTATATAACACTGATCAGACTGTTATCCAGGGTTCCCACACTGGTTTGCCAATGATTTTCCAGTCATGTAATTATTAGATAAAATATATTTTATAGTGATTGAACTCACAAATAGCATTTCTAGCCAAATCAATATTTTAGAGCCGAGCATAAGTACAACAAAATATATATATTCACTACAGAAGACACTTCCAAGACGTTTCAAGATTTGATTAATTTCCATGACATTTCAAGGTCTAGAAATCAAAAATGGTATTAACCTGTAATTTCCTGTTGGGACCCTGATTCTTTTAGTATTTTGCAAGTGTACTTTAAATAGATTTTTTACATAAGCTGTAGTACAGCGCATTTTCAGTTTGATATACTGGGCTTTCACAGTCGAAGGCTGTATTGATTTTATTTTGGCCGTCTTAAAATGAAGCGCCTGAGCGGTCCGTGCACCTGTGCATCATCCACCCTCAGCTGACAGGGCATTTGAAAAGTAACTTTACCAGACAATCTAACCATTTTAGAGATTTCCAAATTTCATAAACAGCGGAACAATGATGCATGGGACAGTGAAATGAAAACAAAATAGTTACACTTTATTTGAGCATATGTGCACTTGCAGTGTACTTAAGAATGCACCATATGTAAAGTAACATGGTTTAATGTTAGATTTCGGGTTAGATTCACTTACTGCCTGATTGTAGTAATTACTACACAGTATGTACATGCAGAACAGGATGGTAAAATAAATAGCTAGCAACAACAGGAAATAGGAAAGGAAGATAAAAACAGAAACAGTGTCTCACCTGCACCTCCCGTTGGCCAGTAGCTGGGGGAAGGCGAGAAGACCTGGGCAGCAAAGTCCTCAAAGGTCATGTTCTCCTTGTGGTTCTGAATGATGGCCTCCAGGTAGAGAGCCCTCTCCTCATAACTGAGAGCCCGTCAAGGAACATCACATTTACATAACAGCAAATCAACACAGCGTTTGAAATTACCCAGCAACAACGAATGGACGATGGGACCATAAAGATAATCAAGGACATCGAACAACAGCACAGAGAAAGACTCTGTGCTTGAAAATCATCAAAAACAAAACAAAAAATTTTTTTTTTAATGCTGTCAGACTCAAAAAAAAAAAAAAAAAGGAAAAAAAAAAAGGGACTCCTCTGGAGTTATTCAGACAAGTCGTGTGAGGAACACACTAAAATTCATGCATTCATTTGTTTAAAAAAAATAAAAAAACAAAAAAAAAATTTTTTTTTTAAAGCTGGAAAAAAAAAAAAAAAAAAAAAAAGGAAAAAAAAAAAGTGACTCCTCTGGAGTTATTCAGACAAGTCGTGTGAGGAACACACTAAAATTCATGCATTCATTTTCAAAAATGGTGAATCAAGAAGCCAGAACCAAAGACGCCTGTACGATGTTCAGAACTACTTGCAAATTAAAGAGAAGTGAGTTGACAAAGCCCCGATATTGTATATTTACACATATAAACATAAATAAATGTAATTATAATACAAACAATTTTAGTTTCAATATTTCTAAATGTTTAACAGGTCTCACTAAGGCTGCATTTGTTAACTAAAATACAGTAAAAACTGTAATATCGTGAAACATTATTAGAACTTAAAATAGCTGTTTTCTATTGTAATATATTTTAAAACGTAATTTATTCCTGTGACACAAAGCTGAATTTTCAGCATCATTACTACGGTCTTCAGTGTCACATGATCTTTCCTGGCCAACGCATTTCCTTGGGGGAAGTCGTGGCCTAATGGTTAGAGAGTCGGACTTGTAGTTCAAAGGTTGTGGGTTCAAGTCTCGTACCGGCAGGGATTGTAGGAGGGGGGAGTGAATGTACAGCGCTCTCTCCCACCTTCAATACCATGACTGAGGTGCCCTTGAGCAAGGCACCGAACCCCCAACTGCTCCCCGGGCGCCGCAGCATAAATGGCTGCCCACTGCTCCGTGTGTGTGTGTTCACTGCTGTGTGTGTGCACTTTGGATGGGTTAAATGTAGAGCACTAATTCCGAGTATGGGTCACCATACTTGGCCACATCACGTAACTTTTAAAAAACTATTCAACAGCTTCAAAGTTTTGTGACATTTTATATATATATATATATATATATATAAATGTGACATTTTATATATTTATTTTTTTATAAATTTTGTTTACATTTTATTTTTCAGGGGTCAAAATTACAGAATGCATTTGAAACAGAATTTCTTTACTTTGATCAATTTGATTCATTCTTGTTGAATAAAAATTCATTATTAAAATAAACCGTAATGAGCTTAAAAGTGTGTATTATATTGTAGAAGGCTTGGCGACAGTATATGCTTTAACTTCATGGAAAGCAGCAGTGTGAACATACTACTAAACATCTCCTTTTGTGTTCCATGGAAGAAAGTCACACAAGGTTTGGAATGACATGAGGGTGTAAATGATGACAGAAGCTAAAATAATCAGGGGAAATTAATTAAAAAGGAGATGTAGCAGAAGGCTTTCAGAGAAAGGACCCAAAAACAAAAACAAACAACAAAAAAGTTTATTACGGTTCGCTTTAATTAAAGCTTTGCTTTAGGGTCCGGCACATTCCAGTTGGCATTTTAGGGCAAATGGCAAATTCATGTAATAGTGTGGGCACTTGTACTATGGCAGATGAAACAAATCAGATCTTCCTGAAGCCATTACACACATGGTGAGCGTAGCCTGTTCAGTTACAGCTACAGTCCGTTAACCGTCCAAACAAACGCACGAGCAGGTGTTTCTGCCTTGATGTTCACATACACACCAACGCAAGCCTGGCAATCACTCAAAAACTGATACAGGCATACAATCTGTGTGTACTGCTGTATTTATATGTATATATAGCGTGCATGTGTGTGTGCGCTCTAATGAATAGGTTGTGGAGCGGAGGCAGGGGCGTTCCAGGGCCACATGACTGCCTGCTGAAATTCTGGAGGGCCCCACTGATGCCATTCCCATCTCATTAGGGAGGCTGCTTATTCCGCCAGGCGCTAGGTTGCTGCCAAGGCCTTTGCACTCCATCATGACCACGCTGGCTGTGTGTGTGTGTGTATGTGTGTGTGTGTGCCACGTGCCGGCGCAGCAGGGGCTGAGGCAACCGTGACAAATTGTTGAAAAGGTCCGTCTGAACCCAGCACTGACAGGCACCTGAGCCTGAGGGCTGCACACAAGGAGAGAGCAATCTGCTTCACTTCTGCATGCTTTTCTGCTAAAAACACACAGCGGGGAGGGAGGGGGCACACGTATCTGGTAGAAAAACTTTATGCACATTAGTCTGAAAATAAAACCGGCCATCGCTGAAATCGAAACGACCAGCAACAGACGGCACGCAACGTTCTCAATGTGTGCATGCAAGTCTGAGTGCACTTGCTCTGAGAATCATCTAAAAATGGCAGGTCTTGCTGCTATAGAAACATGGACAACATTACAGTAAAGAGGCAGGAATGAAAACTAAAAATGGAAGCGTTAAAAAAGGAATAATACGAATTGGCATCACAGCGACGTAAAGAGCGCTAAGTAATGGGAGCAAAAGAAAAGTGTATGTGCGTGAACTAGAGGACAGAGAGAGAGGAATGAGAATAAGGGATAATAAGCCTGATCCCACTAGGTCAACAGAGCCATATGGCGTTCCATTATCAGAGAGGCAGATGACTTAAGCGTGGCTCAGCTATTGAGATTCCTAAAACAAATATTGACCTCAGCCGGAGTCACCGCTGCCATCGGCCAACATGCACTCCCACTTCCTGAGGATGAAAAAAACCCCCTAACCTCTCATCTATTGAACAAATTTATGCAGCACATTACGTATCGCACATTCGTCTGCGCCTAAACGATGTTTGCGGCTTCTGGCACACCTCTGATTTTCGTGATACCGCGTAGACTCGGCAGCTGTTTGCATAAATGTATGCCGGTGTTTAGATGTGGGATTTGTTCTTTATTGAACATTATCGTATGAGAAAGGCATAGACAGCTACGCATCAGGAGTCAAAACAATCAAGCTGCTTTTGCTGGCATGATTTGTCTGCCATCTCCTCTCCGTCTCGGGTTTCTCTAATTGTTGTGGCACAGGTTGTTCCGCTGAATGCGTGAGTTGGGCTAGAGGACGGTGGTGTGGATTAATTCAATAAAGCAGAGGACAGTGACGCAGTGAGTGCTCGTCTCTGTCGGAAGCAGGGAGAACGGAACATACAGGAAAGGACAGAGGTCGCTCGGATGACACCGTTCCAGAACAGAAAAACAAACACGGGGCAATTCTGTATTTTACGTAGGCGAGTGGGAACCTTCACAATTTGTCGATGAGAAGAAAGTTTAGGGATTTCCCAACGTGATTGTAATCTAAGTCACCCTTACAGCACCTGCAATGGAAAACACTCCAGTCCCATGCTAACGAAGCATAGTGGGAATTTCCGAAAGCATTAATCGCAAGAACACGACTCCCAAAGCTCTGTGCACCCAGAACATCTCCACAGAATGTTCTAGAAAGCGCTGGAGAGAGGGATGTGGTGTCAAAAGGGCAAATTTAACATCCCTCTGCCATGTAAAATAATGTGATGACCTCATTCGAGCACAGGTCAGATTGTGCGTAGATGGGAGAAAGGGGAAAAAAGTGTGTAAACAAAAAGTACAATAGCGCTGTTACACCAGAGAGGGAAAAACAGATGAAGCAAATCCACTTTGGAGGGAAAAAAAATGTCCTCTAAGCATTTTGCGGAAGGGTTTTAACAGATAATGCTCTTTTTCCACTCTTTTGGAGGCCACTTTGCCACCCCACGGTGCACCAGGTGACAAAGGCGAGGCATTCAAGGCTGTCGAGAGCAGAAGCCCAGGGGAGCGCACCGACTCATTGAGTATTCAAGAACAGTCCAAAACATTTTGAGTTTCGAGTACGAATCTGTGCATACATCTAATTAGTTTAGAAAACAATGGCATCGTAAAGATCAATTGAAGGGAAAAAATGACTACTAACCACTGCACAGAAAATGAAGAATATGAAAATCTTCAGGAGTCAGCTATCCACTGGCCTAAACCAGCACAAAAACACACTCAGCTAAATAATATCCAAAAAAATCCTTAAAAAAGAGATAATTCACACTTCTACACACATAATAAGTGATTATTTTAATGGTGCTAAAACAGATATGTTTATATCACCCAAATCAGTCATCATGAAATGATAATTTTTTCTGACGTGTGCATGAGGGTGATAGAGCGAGATGAAGAGTATGTGTGCTGTTGTCCAGATGGTAAGGGGTGGCCAGTGGGGAATTGAGAGGTCAAGCACTTTGGCAGATCAAAGCCAAGGTCAGGTGGCAGTAGTGGCCATGTTCAAGGTGCACAGGGACTCCAAGGGCCTCAGATGGCTTCTTATTAGCAGTCAGCTCAGGGGCCAGACCCCTGGGACCACCTTCTGAACCCATCCCACCCTGAAACCCCTCCCCTCTGTCCACACACAACAAAAGATCTCACCCCGCAGGACACCTCAGCCTGGATATAACACCGCTGACTCGGGTCTCAATGCCAGTTTGACAATACACAGAAATCTGTCATTAACATGTTCGTGGAGTAGCAAATGACGCAGGGTAGGAGCAAAGTAGCTGTGGTTAAGATTACATCATGAAATATGACAAAACTGTCCTGTTAATAGACTTTAGTCAGAGTAGACACCATATGTAGTGTGACTTGAATGAAAACAAGGTTGCGAGGGATAGACATGCATATGGATATCAGCAAAATCTTAAGAAATAAGTTAATTTCTAAATAGTTCACAATTTTCTTAAGAATTTGTTTGTATGTTATTATTTTTATGTTTTAAATAAAATCATCAAACATGAAATCATTAAAAAAATTGGAGGTTCTCCTAACTTTAAAAGGTTATTCATGATTATAAGTTTTGTTTTTA